TCGAACCAAGATATAAATGCAACACTTCTTTTGTTTTTTTGCTCCCATTTTTCACAAGTTTATATTAAATATCTAAGACTTTTTTATGCACTCAAATACTTGTTTCTCTCAAATTTTGGTTGCAAAGTTGTGTGAAACGCCGCCAGATGGAGTCAGTTTAAAACACTGGTAACAACGTGATATAAGGAGCTAGAGAACCCCTCAAGGATGGGCAGGAGGGGTGGTGGATTGGTCCAACAAACCCTGGACTTTCACCTGGGAGCCCAATGAGTTTTAAGCCAAACAATCATTGTTTTTTTTTTCTACCCTAACCACGTGCTTTTGTTGCACAAGGAAATAAACATAAAAACAATACGTTTTACCACCATTGTAAGCTTATTTTGAGAAAGACTGTATGCATCTAATGAGCAGAAAGAATACATTTCCTGTGAAAACGGAAGTGTATTTTGAAAAGACACAATGCATGACACATGTAACACAGTGTCCCAGAACATCTACAACAGACACAGGAGGATACCTAGCACATCATATGTACACGTAAAAGTCCACTGACCCAAGCAGCGATATTTGACGAGTTGGGATGAGAACGCATTGGATCGACTCTTTGAGAAGGAGATGTGTCACACTGTATGAGTCGAATGGTGGTCACACGAGATAGTAACTGATTCTTTGGCGTGTCTGTGACCAAAAAATGCATTTCTGCTGGTCATGTGAAATCCCAAAAATGTCCTTTTCAAGATAAAACTGCACGTTTTAAAGCAGCCTTATGGTGTGACCATCCCATGGCACACCTGTGTAGTAATCATGGTGTTTAGTCAGCATCTTGATATGTCACACCTGTCGGATGGATTATCTTGGCAAAGGATGAAAGCTCACGGACAGGGATTTTCACAAATTTACAACCAAAATTTTTAAATATTTTGTGTGCATAAAAAAGTCTTAGATCTTTTATTTAAACCCATGAAAAATGAGAGGAAAAAAGTGTATGTGCATTTGTATTTTTGTTCAGTGAATTTCTTTGTTCAGGCCATGACTTCCTAGACTCTTTACCAAGAGTTTGCCAAGCAACTAGTGGAGACTAGTTGGAAGTGTGCATTTTTTTCCCCAAAACTGTTCTTTAAACACTGCACATTTATCTTATTAATCCTTTTGTAATGTTTTTTCTGTTAAAGGCCCTAAACTCTTCAAGGAGCCGAGCTCCAAGTCCAACAAGCCAATCATCATCAATGCCATCGCTCACTGCTGTCTGGCTGGAAAGGTTAATGAGACCCAGAAGAATGTTATTCTGGAGGTCAGTGTGATCACTTGAAAATAATTTATTGATGGTGATTAGTGTGAATATGTAAAGTAGGTTTATTTCTTATCTGTTGCTTTCACAGTTAAATTTATCACTCCTGTTTTGCCATATTCATAAATTATATTTCTGTCTGTTTCACTGATTGTAGGAGCTGGAAAAGTGTGAGTCCAATCACCTGATCATCCTCTTCCGTGACGGCGGGTGCCAGTTCCGTGCCATTTACTCATACTCACCAGACACTGAGGAGATTGTCAAGTTCACGGGAACGGGACCGCGCTCCATCGGCCGGAAGATGATCGATAAGCTCTACAAATACAGCTCGGACCGCAAGCAGTTCAACGTCATCCCTGCCAAGTCGGTGTCAGTCAGCGTGGACGCCCTCACCATCCACAATCACCTCTGGCAGGTCAAGAGACCGGGGAGCGCACGGAGGAAGTGAAAACGATGACGCTCGTTATAATTTCTGATCTATCTACGACTGTTGGGCAGGACCCAATAATCTATGAAACGATGTGATCATGTGACTAATGTGTCATTAGACAAGGGAGGTAGATGTCAGTCTGTGGCAGCGCAAGATCACAAAACACCTGCCACTGAATGTTTTCTTTTCTTTTTGTCTCGTTAGCTTTTTATTCTGCATGTCACACCTTTAATTTGTGGGTACGTCTTACATTAATTGGGGCACTACTGATTATGGACTGAATCCTATGTAGCAGTAAAGATGAGAGTCGAACGCCACTGAATCTACTTACTCTAGCGAGCATACTACTGATACCAAGTGCAACTACACACAGGAAGTGGTGGACATTCACTTGATGATGCTATTTCAGCTTGGCAAAAAAAATATACCCAACTGCTGTGATTAATCCAGGCTCCACATACAGAGCCCCAGTCATTCACCAGTAACTCCTACTGGTCAGTGCTTTTACGAAGAGGATGATTTGAACTCTTTTTTTAATGTAAGTATGGAATGGATGTTAGTGAGTGGTAATGTCCAGTCTTGTTTTCTATTTAGTGTGTTTGGGGAAGTGTGTGAGTCTTTGTGATAGGGAAGGGGAGAGCTGGATGCAGCTCTTGTGCGTCCAGCTCTGAATGTGTTCTCTCTTTATTATGCTTTAAAACTGCAACAGAACTATGGAGCAAAGCAACAAACCGTTTTCTTTTTAGTTTGGGAGCTGTGTTTTGCTGTTACAGAAACGGGGGGGAATTATACTAGTATTCCAAACAGGAAACACTTATCAGACTCAGTGCATTATACCTTTTCAGTACTGCATTATATTGTATTAACTTCATACTTATATTCAAACAAGCATATGAGCCACATGAGATCTCCGACTGGCTCATACTGCTGAACCAAAATGAACCGAGCTACGCCACTGAGCTGTTTGCTGCTCATTAACTGGATTCTGGTGAGACGTACGATTTTAATGTAGCTTCTGGCGCTCAACACTAGTAATTTCCCTGTAATGACTGACTGTCAGCAGCTGGTGTAATGTGGGAGGGAGGTGGGGGGGAACTGCACAATACTTGATATTTGTTTGCTGCATTTTGTACATTTTTGAGTAGTATTTTTTGTACATTACGTACAAGTTATGTTTACTAAAAAGCAGGCACTATTTTGAGGTTTATTCTGTTACAGGCTTTCAGAGATGTTATGAGTCTTATTTCATTGTGTTATATTGTATGTTTATTTATTTTGAAGAGATATAATAAAATGCAACTAGGTATGTTTTCTGATGAAGTGTGTGCTTCTTTAAATTGCCGTGGACTATGCACATTTTTATTTGTGCATCTGTTTCTTACAGCTCCATTTTTCTTTCTTTAACCAGCTGCTTTCCTGTTTCACTCCTCATTTTCATCACATCTGTCTCACTCTATTTCTCTGCTGGTGCCTTGCTCCCCCTCTGTCTGTCTCACCCTCATGTGGTGAGGGAAAACTTTTTGAAAGGTCTGTAGGGCTGTTTATGTTATGCGTACTATACTCTTACACAAATTACTAAACACTATAATACACAGTCATCTCTTTTGCCTGTAATTCATTTCTACTACACAGTTGAGCAGGAGCATCAGAAGTGATGAGTTTATGTGAGTAGACCTTTTCCACGGCAGACATTTTCACTTGTCATGTTTGGAAAAGCACAGGTGAAGCTGATAACGAGTGATGGCTCGGTGGCATTAAATATAAGGGGGAAGCTTTTCCAGTGAGCCAGCATGCACAATTCTCGGACCCTTCCTAAGTGGAATACAGCTGTCATCAATGTTATTAAATACACCTGAGTTCTTCCTACTAAGGCATGTCAAAATGCCTACCATGAAAAAGGTCCAGAGCGAAAGGGGGAATATATTTATTTTATGTCAGATTTATTTCTTTTTTATTGTCTTTATCATTTGGCACAGATTTTTGTATTATTTTCTCTGTGTATGTGAGTTGTGCTTAACTCTGATGATTTCTACGGTGTTCATCAACGGTTTAAAATAAAGAGAGGGAGACCATAGCTACGACGCTTTAGCTAGGAGTACTGCAAAAGCTACAGCAAAAAATCCCAATAAGCATCCAGGAAAGGTCTCTGGAGTGGATGCTTCAGATACAAAAGACGCTGCATTCAGAGGAAGGATTTAAGTCAAAAAAAGACTTGAAAAGAGTGCTCCTCAGCCAACCTGCAGCCATACCTCATAAGCATGCTTCATCAGTGTTTATGTAATTACTCTCACTGCCAGAAGGGGAAGCAAAAGTTCCACACTCCAACTTTAAAACCTGCAGTCACACTTTACCTTTTAAGTTGATATGGCAACCGTGTTCAAATACATCGGCTCATGGCGCAGTTAAGGAGCAACAGTATCATCTATCTTGAGTTGTGTTTTTAGCAATGACTCCAATATTCACTCTCTTTTTGGACAGCTTTAACCTTTGCTCTGCTCCATTAAAGTGCCCCTGTAGTTGTTAGCAGAATGTAGTGCATTGTAGTTTTAGCAGAGCAATATACAGAGCATATAGTCACACTCAATGTAAAAAGTACACTGACAGGTCATGTTGCCTCATCTTTTCTCTCTTGCTGTTGATTCCTTCATGTACAATATATCGAGCCCCCACACTCATCGTACAACCACACAGGTGTTTTCACTTGAGTTGCCTGATTAGGCCTCAGCTCTGCTCTTGATTGCCAGTGATGTGACTCACCTGTTAGTCACACAGCTCCCTCCTCCTTTCTTCAACTCCTTTCACCCTTCGCTCTCTGCCTCTCCCTCCTGCTTTCCATTAACGTCTCCTTTTCTTTCACCAATTAGTTATGCTTTTATTTTGTTATTTTGTCATAAAGTACAGAACTGTGTTTCACAAAGGCCTCAGCTGTACACTTCAAGTGGTCTCCTGCTTTCAATTACGGCTGTTAACTGACAAATCTGCATCAAGCTCAGACTGTTGTCTTGTCCAGTAGCTGTTTACAGTCTTAATTTTTGGCTAAGCTAACAGTCTTTTGGCTGTCGCTTCATATTCAGTGCACAGTCACTAAAGTGATATGGATCTTCTCATCCAAATGTTGGCAAATTCCCCAAACTATTCCTTTAATTTGCCATTTCTACGTTAAAGACATGTTGCAAATGAATTCAACAGCAACACAACAGTTCCAATATTCGTTTTTCAGAATATAGCACTTTAATGTGCAAATTAAAATCAAATGAAACTTAAGTACAAATATTTTCCACATTTAAATACGGTTGAAGTCAAAATTTCTTGTTTATGTAGCATTTTAGAAATGCATACCTTGTCCAAACAGCCATAAATTAAGTAAATTCATAAGCAAACTCTTTCACTGAGAAGTGCTGAAAGTAAAACGAGGTTTTCTCATTACTAATATAGTACAAATTAAATAAATCCTTTATGGCACAATACTGAATATATGGCACGGCCCGTTTAAAGGGTTAAACTAAGAACCTCTAGTGCAAAAACCTCATCCAACCTAAGAAATGTACTGCAGCAAAACATATAAATAACCATCACTGTTTGTACATAACTTACTAATTAAGACCTCTACATCACTGAATAACTACTTCTATGGTTCAGCTACAAAAAATAAGCTTTAAAGGAAAGCTTTAATGCGCATATTTTAAGTCACATAGTGTTGAAGGTTATGTTTGATTTTATGTGATTGGAATATGTTCATCTGGTTTCTATTAATGTTAAAAAGTCAAGAAAAGACTAAGTTGCCAACCTCTGCATCCCAAAATCTCTAATGTCACTGTTCAATTTGCCACAACAAAATATACAATCCACTCTGAAACTCAGGATGTTTCAATGACTGTGGAAATCATTAATGGTCGTCCTGTGATCAAAGTCCTTTTGTTTGATGAATCTCTCTAACTCAGTCTAATCAAGGGCAAAGCTGCAGGTGTGTTGGACCTGATCCAAATTGTCCCTGACTGCTCATCTTGAGAGAGCTTTTACAGCAAAATGAACGCACTATTCTTACAAACAAAATGTCTGTGGCAGGAGGATGGAAATGTCATAGATGACGTCAAATGTCACCTGCCAAACAGTAGGCACTCATATAATACAGTAGTAGACTGCAGTGCTGGAACATTGTAGCACAAATTGGCCTCTTTCAGACTGGACTTGCGTGGACGCAACTAGACCCCCGTGAAAGCTGAAGGGGGTGATTATCAAGAAGTGTAGGTGAAGGTCAGCATGGTATCAGAGCTGGGTGTCCTCTCTGGTGTCTATGCTGGACTCGTGTCTCTCTCTCAGGCTGCTTCTGTGGACAGGAGGCTCCTCTGGGACGTGAGCCAGAGGGTCCGGACGAATCAAGTACCTGACAAAGAGAGGGCAAGAGGGCAGATTATGAAATGAGATAAGCATGTGCGTCAGTCGCAAAGAGATGCCCCATGGGAGCTCAGCATTCGGGGCACTTTCCTAAACTGATCCATACCCACTAACCCTTCAGTACAGGAGTCACACTCTCAGCCATGAAGAAAGAACAGGAGCTCAATAAACAAATAAACTGTGTGATGCACTCTCTGCTCTCTGTCATGAACAGGAAACAGCTGTTGCTATGGATACTGCTAGGTGCCTTGCTTGCTCAGCTGTTGTGTTAAAAATTCATGTTTCCCTATAATTGTATATTATTTCCAAAATGATATGCTACAAACCCGGCAGCATTTGTTCTTTTGTGAAGCAGTATTACAGTAAGTGATTTAGCAGACCAAGCTGTAAACACTGACAAATATCACCTTAAGTTCTCATGCTGAATGTGTTTCAAATGACTGCTTACTTACACATCCAGAAGACACGGAGCAACATTACTATCACTTGATACATGTATGTTCACTCTGTTTTTGGCTCTGTTTTGGTCTCTACCAACTCCTGAGGGAAATATGTGGCTCTTTAGCAACTAAATGCTTCACAATGTTCAACAGCTAGTTGCTAACTTTTTAGCTGTCTGCTGTTTGGTGCTTGGCAGGTAGTGTACAGTGTTTTTTTTTGGTTAAAACATGCGCCTGTTGCTGCCCGATAAAAGGTTCAGGTGTAAAGCAAAACAGCAAAATTGCAGCCTGTAAAACCAAAAGAGTCAGGTGATAATTCACTGTGGGATTGTCAGTGGCAAAATAAAGCCAACGCTAAGTGCCAAAAACTGCAATTTCTTGAATGGCCACTTGAGGCTGGCTTCAAAAGTGAGTCAGTCCTCATAGAAATAACTTTACAGCACAAATAAACATTCTTACTGCCTGGTACAAAAAAACGGGGCTAATCCCCCCTTTCATGACAACTTTATAGAGGGTGAATTTTTAAATAACTCACCCGTTTAAATTTTATTAAGTCTTAAAGTTATGTGTAATTAAGGGCAAGGGCGCTTTGATTGACAGGCTGTCTGTGAGGCGTAACCAGTCTGTGAGTCAGGGCCATCCATTGCTCCTCCACAGTGCCACCCTCTAATCCAAAGCGCTGTGTCCCATGGATGATTGCCGCCTATTGTCTGGCACCTGGTCGCTACCTTTTTGTAAAGCCCTGACCTCACCTGAGCGCCATGGGGGTACATGCCGATAAACGTCTTACAGAATGTAAGAAGAAAATAAGGAAATACTGACATATGGCAGAGTCTCTGCAAAAACTTGCACTTCTTGTGGGTCATAAGCAATGACTGAGAAGGATTACTCGTGTATAAGTCTATACATTGTTCGTTTAAGGAAAGTCCTGCATAGTATATCTTAAGTAAAGTACTGTAAGATAACGGGTAAAAGGAATAGTGAAAATTGAAAATGCAATGTTTATTGTATTTGTCTGTGAAAAAAACTGTGAAAGCAAACTGTTTTGCTTTCATTATCACCTGGATTAATTTCTGAGAAAAATGGACACAACAATACAAAACACCCACAAATTAGACAGCTTTGACAAAGCTGAGAAATAAACAATAGCAGTGGTGACTCAAATTTCACCAGATTACCATTTGTACCAAACACACAAACCCACACGCACAAGGTGTGCACATAAAGGAGTATTGCTTACACAACGTCATTGAGCTCCAGCCTGGTGTCAGGCGAAGGGTTAATCAGGACGTAGGACAGGGTGTTCTGGTGATCATTCTGCTCATCTGAAACCAAAACATCATCTCAATCAGCAGACTGGAAAAATTGCATCTGCACAACCTTGTTACAATCTAATTTCTACCTGCAATAGGTTTGTGATTAAAATATTCACCTTGTAGATATCCCAGATTGACTCTGTTCATGACGTCGCTGGCTGTCAGGTTAGTGAGGTCTTCTACACACAACAGTTAGACAGGAAACAGACAAACTTTTAAGTAGCAGATGACATGAAAGTTTGGGAAAGTCTGAGCTGTTTGGCTTGAGAACTTCCTCACCATATCCCGAGGTGGGGAGGCCCAGATGCCTCATGCGGTTGCGGACCAGCTCAGATAGCTCTTCCCTCTCAGAGCGTCGGTAGAGGTTGAGGCGCTGCTGAGCGATACGCTGAGCGTGGTCCTTGCTCGAGTCCCGGTTCACTCCCTGCCACCTCACGCTTTTCTTACTCAGACGCCTTGCCCACTGCATGCTCTTCTTCCTCAGCAGGGGGTGGTCTGATTGGTCATTGCTGCGAGACTCGCCATCTTTGTCCTTGGTGTCCTCGCAGTCGTCAACACTGACTGACACCTGCGACTGGGGTGGGAGGACAGGAAGTTACCTTTATGGCCAGGATGTTTGAATATAAGTCCTGATAAATGACATTTTTTAGCCACACTGGTGGAGTAGTTCTAGGGATGACGGTGTCGGTCAGTCATCACTTTGGTCCAGGCTGAAATATTTATCAACCATTGAATAGACTGCTGAGAATTTTGGGTGGATATTTATGGTTTACTGTCATTCCAAACTGACTGTCTTCACTCGACTGGAAAACAGCATGTCCTTCCCTTACATACAGGTGGTGACAAACACAATGTAAATAATTATTGCTCTATCTCCAAATTGTGTTGTCTAAAATATTAGGCATTAGATTGGATATTAGGCAGCAAGCAATGGAGGAGCGACTGATCATTCTTGTCCAGGGATACCCTGAGTTATATGACCTGTCTTCGTCGTACTACTTTGACTCCAACAGAAGGAACAATGCCTGGAGAATTATCAGCTCGGAGCTTGGGATAACTGGTGAGCATGATGATATGCTTTTATTTTTTACTTCCCCTGTTAAGTGACAGTGAGTGACAGGCGGTTTTGGTTGCTTAGTAACGGCAGGCGAGACAGTAGCGCAACCTCCGAAGCGCCTTGGATAAAAGGATGGAAACGGCACAGCTGGCGTTTTCCACGCGCTTTTAGACGCTACATCTGAACGGGGCATTATGCTGATCTGTTTATGGACTTGTCTAAAGCATCTATACTGTTGACCATACATCACTTTTAAGGCAACTCTTCTGTCTTGGTTTTGATTCTGTCAGTTCCCTATGGTTTGATAGTACATCTTTAAATGATTACAATGTGTAAGTATGGGTGATGTCCATTCTGAATTTAAAAATATTACTAAAGGTGTTCCGCAAGGTTTAGTGTTGGGTCCAATATTATTCTTGATTTACATAAATGAAACTGTCCTCTCTTCTGAATCTGGTAAATTTCATCTTTATGCAGATGACACCAGTTTTATATTTTTCTGCAACGTCTATCAGCCATTGAATGTCCAACTCGGCAAACAGCATATCTATAGAGAGAGTGGCACAGTATAAATACCTGTATAAATATCTGGTTGGATAATAATTTTAACTTTAAGCATCATATGAACACTCTGATTAATAAGTTGAGAACAACTCTTGGTTTTCTGTATAGATAGAAAAATTGCTTCCTTATTCACCGTAGAAAAACAATTGTAGAATCAACATTGTTATATATTTGCATTATCGGGATGTTATAAATACTGGAAAGCCGCCACCTTTACATTAGAATCACTGGATGCTATCTACCACTTAACTCTAAGGTTCATAACTGCTGATCCTTACAGCACCTCCCACTGCCATCTTTTCTATTAAAAGGTTGACTAGCCACATTTGGCTATAAGGTGGACCAGCATTGGTTTTTGTTTATTTATAAAACTACAGATGCTTCCACCCTATTTTTTATCCCTTTCAACTCTGTTCTCACATGATCTTGGTACTTGCTCACAGAATAGGTTGTTGCTCCATCTTTCGTTAATCAAAACTGAACCTGGAAAAATGTAATTTTCTTACAGTGCACCTTATATGTGGAAGAATCTGCAAAAGACCTTAAATTTTGACTCTCTGCTGCCACTATGACTGTTCAAATGCCTAATTTCAGATCCTGTTTTAAGTGATTGTATATGCTATTAACCACATATCTACTCCGTATCCTGTGTTTAAGGTTTTCGCCATTATTGTTCTTATTGTTTGTTGTTTTGTATGATTGTATTTTCATTTTAACTGGTTGCTTATTGTCTGTTTATTTCAACTTATTTTAGATTTGCTTACTTTTTTATGTCTTTGTCCATGCTCAGCATCATTGAAAATGAGGGTCTCCCTCAATTAATCCCCTGAGTCTTATGTAAAGGTTTGAATGCATGGTCCCCAGGGGCTAATGCCTGCTGACTTTGGACACCCCCTGACATTTTATCTAGCGCCACCAGCAGATCAAAGTTTTCAATTAATCTGTAAATCATTTCAGCAACTACTAAATTTGAATTTATTGATAGTCCCTTGAGATGTAGCATCTCATTTTCAAGGGGGTCCTCAGACACAAATACAGAACGAAAACATACAGACAAAACGGCATTACATAACAAACATACACTACAAATGCACAGATACAGACATCTTGCTCACCATCTCCCACCCACACCCCCTGCCCTCAGCTGTTGCACAAGAAAATTAGAATTGGATACCATGACCACTAATAGTTACATAGCAGTTTTCAGTATGACATTTTAAAAACATGAACAGGTTGTTTTGAGATATGAAGATAAGGAAGTCCTGAAGCAGCAGAAAGAGGTAAGAGATCTAAAGAAAAGAGGAAGATTATTCCAGTCAGATGGAGCTTTGTATTGGAATGACCTAAATGGTTTGGCACAAACATTGACACAGAGATTCATGCCTCCCAGAGGATTAATCTTAATGACCTTAGTGATCTCTGACCTTTCCCCTGCACCACAAGTCATTTGTAATAAACATGTTCCTGCAATTCAGGATTGATGATGCAATTTATAGATTCACTGCAGAGTGTTCACCTCAGAAGTCGAAAATATGTGGGATTCTGTCCGATAGATCCCGATAGGAATTTCGGCACTGGAGGAGCAGAGTTTCTGGAACAGTCTGCCATAAGTACTAATCCACAGATCTTCCTCTGTTACTTTCATCTGGAATAAGAGATACATAGTTATACTATTAGCTATATAAATTGGAGTATGGCACTGTATTGGATTTTTCTTTACTTATAGATTTTTTTTCCGATCTAACTCACAGCACAGAGGTACCCTGATCCTGGAGTGGTGTCCAGCCCCAGCAGCAGCCTCGCAATAAGGATCATGTAATCCTTCACAAAAGACTGAATCACAGAAAAACAGCTTTATAACTTTATAACGAAACAACAGTCACAAAGAAACTTAGGTCAGTTTTCTATCAAAGAGTGAACACAAGAGGGCACTTTTGCTTTATGCTGATGATGCTGCTCTGTTCCTCAGGTGACACTGTTTTTGCTGCTGCTGTAAGACACATTCATTTCTTTCACCTGGCATTGAAAAGAATTATTTGAGGTGCTTAGCTGTAGGTGTGTACCAACCTGATACAGCAGGGTGTCCAGCATGCTGATACTGAACACTCTCCCCGCAGCGAAGGGTAGGCGAAACATGAAGGCCAAGTTGGAACCTTTATCACGCTCTTTCTGTGGGGGAGAGCCAAGAAACGCAACAAAACACAGCAATGATCAACATTAAAGATCTGTCACTCTTCTGATAGTGTAGGAAATAACAGTGTGAGGACTGGCTACAGAAAAAAATCCTGTCTTCTGCAACAATTCATGTTCATAATTCATACTACAAAATTCACTGTAAGCCCTCTTGTTACAGGTTACCTTCTCCAGCTTGGAGAGGGCCAGTGAATAGCAGTCCTTTGCTCTGAACTGCATGAATCTCATGTTGGATGGATGAGTAAGCTCTGTGATGATGCTGAGACTGGGAAACAACCTGGAACGAGAGAAAAGCGTGTTATCAAAAAACAAACAAACAAACAAAAAAAACAGAGTCACAGGACTAAAGACTAAACATCACGATTTATTACCAAACTTTTAAAATCATATCAACAACACCGCTGTCACCCAAACATGATTTCCGATGCTGGTTCAGATACACGCAGTGATGTTATAAATCAAAGACCATGACATGAATCACATTAGATAAATAGTACGGTAAAAGCTCATCAGTTACCTGAACATCGTCTGTACGTTTACAATAGTCTTGGCATCAGCCATGTAGTCCTCCTCTGCACTCATTGTACTCTCTTTATCCACAACAACCAAATTATCTGCGTAGATAATGCCACACTGCAGCAGGCTGTCCAGACTGAAAAACACACACGTAGACACAAAAACAACAATGAGCAGAACAAAAGCAGATACCAATTTGTCTGGAACATACTGCACATTCAATTAAATCTCAGAGACAAACTCCTCTACAATATATTTTAATGAAAAGATAAATGAAATATATAATACAATCAGAATGGAAAGCAGGAGATTATTTGACAGTCTTACTTGTCTATGGTCCCAGCCATGTAGTAGACCATAGGAAAACAGCAGATGGCCTCCAGAAAGTGATTATCTGGCCTGCAGGAAACATTTGATATATGATAGAGAAAGTGAGTTTCATTTGGCTTTCTACTGTCCTTTTGACTCCAAACCACACAATACATTCCTTAGTACGATGATGCAAAAGACTGTAACTTTTATTCAGATTGATGTTTTCCTATTGGTTTTGTATACGTGTAACTGAATGATGAGTTCTTTCATTTTTGATGTTTGACCAAAAACTGACAAATATTTGGCAAGACAGGAAAACTAATCAATTACTCAACCCGTGTTATGTTGATATTGTGGAAAAAACATTTTACTCACATGCCTCCACAGTGAACAAAGAATCCAACAAACAAACAAAGAAGATTCTTGATGAATTGAAGTCATGGGGTCCACGATTAATAACAGCAAAACTATACAAAACGTCCACTGTAAAACTCACATAACTCATTTAGTATAATCCATGTCTCCAGCAGCTCCTGTGTTCAGCGAGGCAAAATTAGTGTTTTTGTCAATGGAGTCTGGTTTAGAGAAGTTTTACTTTTAGTTCAGTTCCCCTTCAGAGAGCGCTGTCTATTTGGGAAGTACTGAGTATTCTATTGGATAAATGAGACTCGGATTATACTGCACAAGTTGTGTGAGAGTTTGTAAATAGTAGGGGTGGCAATTTCCAGAAGCCTCACGATACATTATTTTTTTTTAAAGATTATTTTTTGGGGCTTTTTGCCTTTATTATACAGGACAGTGTGAAATGGGGAGACAGAGAGAGTGGGGGGACGACATACAGCAAAGGGTTGCAAGCCGGAGTCGAACTTGCGAACGCTGCAGGCGTCACCTCTATACATGGGGCGCCGGCACTATCCACTATGCTACCAACGCCACTCACGAGATATTATTATCACGATACTTGAAGGGACAGTGCACCCAAAAATGAAAATTCACCCATTATCTACTCACCCATATGCCGATGGAGGCTCAGGTGAAGTTTTAGAGTCCTCACAACACTTGCGGAGATCCAAGGGGAGAGGGGGTAGCAACACAACTCCACCTAATGGAGGCTTATGGCGCCCTAGATTCAAACGTCCAAAAACACATAATTGAAACCACAAAATATCTCCATACTGCTCGTCCGTAGTGATCCAAGTGTCCTGAAGCCCCGACATAAAAAGTTGTTTGGAAAAACGTCATCTGAACTCTGTTTTTAGCCTCATTGTAGCCTGTAGCTCTAACTGTCTCTCTGGGCACCGCGTTCACGTGTGTTCACGTGCTTTCGCTGGTAGATAATGGGTGAATTTTCATTTTTGGGTGCACTATCCCTTTACATATATTGCCAAATATTTTGATTAATTACCTTTTTTCAACTACAAATTATGTCCCCAAGGGTAATCTTTATTGGCATTTGTTTTGATAAAGTTCATCCCATGTGAATCATTTTTAATGCAGCAAACTGTATCTAGTGAACTGAAAAAACAATTTATTTTAGTGTTCTTGTAGGCTACCAAAGTTTTTATTTATATTTGCGATATTAATAATTTATTTGATAAAAAAATCGATACTTGGCTTCTGTGTATGGATAAAATATTGCCACACAAAATATCGCAATACTACGCTGCATCGATTTTTTTCCCCACGCCTCTAGTAAATGGATGTTTCAACACAGTATTGCTGTCGTTAAATGCAGACCCCTATGACTTCAATTCATTAAGAGTTTCATCTTTTTTTGGATTATTCATTCACTGTGAAGGCATGAAGGAAAAACTGTTTTCTCCACAAATTCAAGAGGTGAGTATCTGATCTACAAATGGTCATTTGGGGGCTGACGTTACCCTTAATACATATTAAATACACTGAAAACAACTTTGTATTTTCTTTAGGGATGTGAGTGTTTACTATGTGATGATATACAACAGTGAGTACAGGGGTCTCTGGAGCCTTGGTGTGTCTTCAAGCTGAGTCTGTTTGGTGCTGAACACACTCACAGAGATTTAGTTGCTTCATTACTGCCAGTCCGCCACCGCCACCACCACCCCTGACAGAATATTACTTTATGCATCTGCCCAGTCCTGCTGACTAGAGACCCAAGGCTGTCGTAAGTGCTTGAATTGCGTATCCAAGTGTGTGGGTGTTTGTATTTGTGCGTGTGCGACAGCGATAGGAGGGGAGGGAGCGAGAGCTGCATGGAGGGGGAGAGTTTATTGTTATGTGTGTGTTTCTATGAGAGTCCTGAGAGCTCGCATGTGGGGGCTGAAAAGGGACACATCAGGGCTGTCGATGAAAGCCTGCTTGTTGTTCTCCAAAGAAATCATTTTCTTCATCTTTTTCTCCCCCTTGTAGCAATATATATCATTCCGGTTCAAGGCAAAGCAAGTTGCTATGGTAACTGTCTGGAGCTACAGAGCACAGCATTTTTATTTTCTTTGTCGCTCAAAACACACCGTCACTGTGAGCAGCACCAACTAACCTAACATCAGGGCTAACAATGGAGTTCCACCTCCACAGCCTTGTCCTAAGTGCTGGGCTGACGTGAGCTTTTAGCATACATAATGTTTCCCAGCGTGAAATGGTGAAAGACAGAGTGACGGTTGAAAGAAAAAGGACAATGTGTGTGTTACGTGTGTGAGTGTGTGTTAATGAGAACTCACGGGTTATCCAGCAGCAAGACAATAGGGTTGAGTTCTTTCCTGGGTCTGTAATAAGCTCTGAGAGGCACTATGAAGTTATAAAGACCGTTCCCTGCAGTCTCAGCAGACACAATGATGAGCTTGTTTTTAAAACCATAAGCCTTTGCATCCTCGAAGCTGTTGTGCCTGCAACCCTGCACGAGGAACAAAAAACAGGTATTTTAGGTTTGCTTTTGTGATGCGAAGGACAGAGAGAGGAGGGAAGGACTGGAAGGAAAGATGGAGGCAGCAAGTAATTGAGTGACTAAGTTGGAACAGCGACTGCCCACCTGGTCCAGTCGTAGGCAGCAAAACGGGGCTTTTTCAGCCAACAGATGGCACAAGGTGGGCGAGCTCCCAATGTACGGAGAGTTAGGGGGATAACCTTTCACGTACCTGCCAAGAAATCCAAAAAGCATGAATGACACATTTCACAGAAGCAAAAAGTGTTAAGAAAAAATGGTCAGGCTTTCTTGTCATTTCTTATTCTAACAAAAATTCACAGAATGACACAGGTGAGGAAAATATGTCTGTCTGTTGGTAAAGAAATGAAACTCACTTTGATTATTTTTTGCTTAATTTGCATCTGGCAGGTTTAGCATTCATTAAGTGACTTTAAGTGGTTTCAAGTATTTTAAGGTAAATCAGAAATGCAACAGCTTTTATTTATTAATCTGTCTGTAGATCTAAAATCCAGTTTGACTAGTATAATACAAGGACAAAAAGTAAACAAAAAGTAACAAAAATCTTACACTACAAATTAACTACAGCTGCTTAGTTAATGTGTTAAGGTGAGTAAAAAAACTATATTTTCCACTGGACTGTAGTGAAGTGAAATATAGAGTAACACTCAAGCAGTGTCTTGAAATTAACTTTTTGATTTACTGGGTAAGGTGGCTGGTAGATGAAAATATCCACCAGCCAAGCATATTCTTTTGCAGCCAAAATAAACTAATTAGTTTAAGCAAAATTACTTTAATATGTTGAACAGCTCATCACCACAGTCTCGGTAACATTATGTGAATAAGTTCCCTCTGGAAAGCAGTGATGCAGTGTATATATCTAGGGCTTTTATTGTGAAAGCTAAGAATGGAAGAAGTGCAGCTCATGTGCTGCCGGTGACAATGTGGGAGGCAATAAATAATAAATAAAAGTTTGCTGACAGCAGCTGACCAGCGGCAAGTGATAGCCTAGTGGATCAACTGATGTTCTGTGCGGTAAACAATGCCACAGAACTAGCACCAATCAGGAAGGTCAGACTGGCAGTACTGTTAAGACTTGCACGTGTGTGACAAAGACAGCACAGGCACACCTTAGGAGCAGCAGAGCAGTGCGTCCTTTAATGACACCAAAAAAAAAAAAATGGTAGCGGCTTTAAGCAAAGTTTTTTATCACATTCATATTTTGGCAGAAACATTTACACGCCAGTGTAGCAGATAGCCTTTTGAGATTTACTTGCCTAATGGAATATCTACCCACATTTGGGCTTGGTGGGTGTTAATATCGGACCCTGCACTCAAGCAAAGTAAAAGCACATCAAATTTGTACTTAGTTACTGGTCATGGAGGCTTGCCTGCCTAGGATGCTGAATAGGTTGGGTGCAGCACTTTAGACAACCAACATTTCATAGACTAAGAAGTTGCTCAAAGTTATGTGAACAAACTATATTTAAAGTTTTCAGACACAAGAAATCAAACTTCTGCCTGAGTAATATTTAACATCTGTTTGGTACTTCTTCTTGAGTAGTAAATATGTATTTATTTGCACTGCCTCCTTGTGGTTAGGTTTTTAAAGTATGGGTATTTGTGTAGAAAAACAGAAACCTTACTCAGTGGATGAATGGCCTTTCTCATCTGTGAAGACAGAGTCATCTTCTGATTGGTCACTGAGGAGGTCACATGGCAGGATTGAGGAGGAGTCGGCGATCTCCTGAACTGGAGCGATGCTCGGCCGACGGCCCCCTGTTCCGTTTACTGTGGGCGGCACCAGTTTACCACCTGAGACGTCAGGCGGACTTGAATTCTGAAGGTCTATGGCAACAGTGCCTGTAAATTATAATCGCCTGAGCGTTAAATCACACATAAAGGACTAGAGTCGCCACAATCAATCCAAATTCATGGAGACCTCTTTCATTAACAAGAGAAGTTGATCACACTGTCTAGTCTCACCCATGCTAGCAATGATGCTGTGCACGGGAAGCTGTGAGGGTCCGTCATAGAGTCCCCCGGCAGGTCGGCCCTTCCTCTCCTCCTGGTTGAAAATGAAGGCAGAGTTCTCCTCCTTGGTGATGTTGATGTAGTAGCAGGTGTCTGAGGCAGCCATGATGTGGCGCGGGCCAGGGTTCAGCAGGATGCTCTTGTTTTCTTCCCTCTTTATACCGATCAGACACACGCCATACCTGTGCGTCACATACCTGCTGTTAGCAAATACTTGAAGAAAATATCTGACACCATGATATAATCATTGCATCTAAAGCCATACAAATATGACACTTCATAGCAGAATTGATACTTAAGGCTTTAAGGAATTGTTTGACATTTTAGGAAATACACTTGCCAGTAGAGTTAGCTTAGTTTAGCTTAGCATTAAGACTGGAGACGGGGAAACAGCTAGCCCGGCTGTGTCAGCTACAAGCACCCCTAAGGTTCACCAAGGTTTAAGTTATTTACTGTTATCAGTCAACATGTTATATGGAAGTTTGCTGCACAGCCGTCTGAAATCTCTAGTGCACTTGCTTGATGCGGTAGATCCAGGTAATTTCATGCCATTGAAATCAAGCCCCCAGGAAGTGCGCTTGGCTTTGAAGTGGCCAAACAGTGTAATTACACCTTCAAGTGATGCCCTGCAGTCCAAAGAGACTCCTTCTCATTGACTTACATAGCGAAAGAGACATCTGTAAATCAGTGGATACATTTTTTTGAGCATCACAGCCCCCCCCGAAATGACTCGTTTCACCGAGATTTAATCCATTCAGTCTGATAACATTTGGAAAGTCTAGAAGAGTCACAAGATTGAAATATTTTATCCCCATTCAAGTTAACGGGGCGCTAAACTGGAAGTTGTTGGCATTATGGGCCGTACAGTACAGAGGTAGTGCCGATCATCTGGGTAATTTTATATGCAGCACTTGAACCATTTTGGCTTCATGCGCTGCTGAGCAACTTTCATAGGAATGAACAGGGCCCTGCCTCAAACGCTATGTCCAGTTCTCTTTATACATCCACGCTGGCAACCTCACAATTACGACAAGACTCTAGGGAGTCACTGTGTCTAGCCAAACGTTGTCTGGTATGTAACCCACGGCAAAACCACAATTTTTTTGTAGTAATTAAAAAAACATGATATATTGAGTTAATTAAACTTGAGAGGAGCTGTTAGTTGGATATTGCTCATTTTCGATAGAGCCAGCTTGCTGTTTCTCCTCTCCAGTCTTTCTGGCTAAGGCAAGCTAAGCTAACCAAACACCTTAAGTGCTGTCTGGACAAACAAGAATTGTATTTAAAATTTGTAGCAGTGAGATGATTTTTTTTGTTTACTTGTTTGTTATGTGCGACATATTTGACATCACTTTTTAGCTGGACCAAAAAAGCACCTACAGTACAATCCAAAAGCTACTTACTTGTTCTTTTTGCATTTATGTGTTAAAAATATCGTATTAAACTAGAATGAAACAAAAAAGTAGTCGTGCACTGCGGATAAGACAAGATCAAACCAGACAAATGAACAGTGACTAACAACCTCTTTAAATGTCTTGGTATATTTTCAACTTGTCAGCATCTGAAGAAGATGCTTTAGCTTACATGTCAACTCACTTCTTGTGAGCATGAAAGGAGGCGTATGTAAAGCTTTTGCCATTATACTCTCCGAAGAACTTGCTGTCACACACTCGGATGTGGTAGACCTCGTTGCCGGAGCAACACCCGTACATCCTCTGCCACTGCTCCGGAGACTGTTGTCCTTCTCTGAATTAATTCAAGGAAAATACAAACATACCACTGATCAGTAAAGCTGATACTTTTAAAGTGTTAAAATATTACCATATATGCTAATATACATTCAGTCAGGATCAATCATTATTGTCATTTGCAAAACTCTCCACCCACATCCCTTCAAATCTCGGGGGTCTCCTGCCCTCACCCTGAGTCTCCTGGGTTTTCTGATGACAGCTTGACTCATGTGTCAGTCACTCAGCTTGTCTCTAATATGCCCTTTGTAATGACTTCCGGTAATTACAGTAATTGCTCAAGCAATGGGCTGCGAGAAAAGCTCACAACAACCCTGAGGTAGCAGTTGCATACATGCTTCTTAGTACTTATTAATATTTACATAAGGAGATTATAGATTGTATTTCACACTCCCTGGTTTCCTAACTCAATGTAAAAAATAAAACAACACCCTCATTATTATCAATATCTCCTATTTCCACTTAATGTCCTTGATGAGCTGCATGCCTCTAAAATCATTTTGTGCACTCCATGCTGCCCACACATGCAATGCAAACATACATATAAAACACACATTTGTATAGATATACTGCAGCATACACAGTCAGACAACTATAATACACATTCATGCACATTTTTTGTATTAATGTTTGCAAGTTCAAAGCCCATTCGCCTTTGTATAATAAAAAAAAAAAACACAAAGCTTCACTTTCTAAAGAGTTGTCAGGAACACTGTAAGTGCTGTAGCCCACTGATTCCCCTTTAATGCAGTTTCTCTCCGCTATTGGCATCTGCTTTTAGAAGTGATCCCTTTGCATGCTGTGAAAAATCATTTTCCACCAGAGAGCTTTTCACAGTTTTACAGAGAAAACATCCTAAAAAATCCATTTAGCCTATTTGCCTGTTCTCTCTCTTTTTTTTTTTTTTTGCTTTAATGCACTCTCTTTACTTCCTGCGGTTTTCCACAATGAGCTGAGACTTTTGTCTTTCACCTCTCCGCACCAGTTCCATTGAAACAATGTATACATCAGCAGACATCAACATGTGAAGTAATTTGAACTTTGCGATCACGCTAAGCAGAAATTGAAAAGGCCTGTGGAGGACCCTGGTTATGCAAGATGACCGACCGTCCGCGAGAGGTGTGTACAAGAAGCGTGACCAAGGTGGAGGTGGCAGGACACACACAGTTGAGAGCCAACATGGCGTACTTGAACTCCTCCTCACACACAACATGATCTGAAAAGAAAAAAAAAAGCATATCAGAAGGGCTGTCCAAAGAGTAGAAGTTCTATCTCATTTGTTACACAGAAAAGGTGCTTTATAAGTGGAGAGCAAATTTTACAGGAATAGTTTGACATTTTGGAAAATATGTTTGTTTGCTTTCTGGTCAATAGACGAAGAGATCAATACCTCTCTCTTATCTGTCCGTTAAAGAAGTATTTCACAACTGGAAAGATGGTCTTTTCATAAAACTAGGCCGTCTATGCAGGAGAAAAACACAAATATCTTTGAAATTGGTGTTACATGACTAGAGAAAAAAAGAGGAAAAAGGCTGTGGCATTCACTTTTGCTCAAAAGATAGAAAACCTACAACAACCAGAATGCACTGTGTTTCACCAGACCAATAAACACTCCCAGTGGTGGGTGACGTAATGCAAACTTGGCCAAAGGAAAACAACAAGGCAGCCAGCTGGTAACAAAAATCCTGAAATACAGTTGAACAGTAAGCTAAAATATGTTTTCGAAAACATGTGAGGTGAGAAATAGGTAATGCAGTAACAGAATCTTGATTCACATGAGCTCAGCACTACCTTGTTCTACAGTTTGAGCTCAGTTTTGGTCTGTGTTGGAGAGAGAAAGCCAGAGAGGGGCAGGTCTCTCTCTCAATCCACTTCTATACTCTTTGTGTCTGTAGTGGGGGGCATACTAAAATGCAGAAGCACAAGATGTAGTTCAAGCAACAGCTATATAAAGCCAGCAAACATCAGACTTGGACTGAGAGATGGGGAGGGAGGTCTGGGCACAGGTTGACAGAGGGAAGCTGACCACAGTTCATTTACGCATACTACCCACATTGACATGATACAAAGCTGGAGCTAGAGCTATCACAGGTATCCAAAAAGACCTGGCTCAGCATAGACCAAAACTCTGCACGCTGGAAGAAATGAGTTGTGCCATGTCCGATGGCCCTACTCCAGCTGCCGACACTGCCATAATTGGGCCATTGTCAAAACTGACCTAAACCAGCATCAGCCCAAACACGGCACACCAGAAGAAATAAGTCAGGCCGTATCTAGTTGCCTGACTCGGTTGAGGGTTGCCATGAATAAAGCCCCAGAATCAAGCCAAATAAACAGGTCAAAATCCAGCAGCCAACACTGCCGTCACTGGGCCATTATCAGAAACGACCACGACCAGCATTGGCCCAAATTTGGCATGCTGGAAGAAATAAGTCAGGCCATGTCTGGTTGCCTGACTCGGCTTAGACTCTTATCTTAAACTAGACTGTCTCTCTCTGAAATTTAAAATACACCCAACACCTCTAAACCTCATTAAATAACACATTATATCTTGCTTGTTTAATTTGACAAAAAATCTACATTTTAAAGTTGTGTGGAGTTACAGGCAGTGTTCTTTGCATTACTCGTTATATATATTACATTTGTGTTATACGCCATAAAATGTGTTATTGTGTATCTCCCCAAAATTAAGATGTGTGCCTCTGTGTGAATGTCAGAGTAATCACCATTAAGTGTAGCTAAGGTTTCTTTTACCTGGAGGTCTTCAATTGCATGTGACCAGTATTTTCCCATGGCTCTGCCTGAAAGATGGAGTCACTCATGGAGCAACATTTCATCCGTCACACATCCATCACACATCCAATCACAAGTTTCATCACTTTTTTTTAGCCTGCAGCTGTCCACCAGTAAAATTCTTTTTTTTTTTTGGTTTTGGAGTAACTGTAGTATTATTATCACTGAAATTTCATTAGTAATTACTTACACTACTCGTTACTGTAAAAAGTATTACTGCCCAACACTGGGTACGGCTGCTATGTTCAATTCAATTCAATTCAATTCAATTTTATTTATAAAGCCCAATATCACAAATCACAATTTGCCTCACAGGGCTTTACAGCATACGACATCCCTCTGTCCTTAGGACCCTCACAGCGGATAAGGAAAAACTCCCCAAAAAAAACCCCTTTAACGGGGAAAAAAAAACGGTAGAAACCTCAGGAAGAGCAACTGAGGAGGGATCCCTCTTCCAGGACGGACAGACGTGCAATAGATGTCGTACAGAACAGATCAGCATAATAAATTAACAGTAATCCATATGACACAA